GGCGGCGGCCACGGCGTTTGTTCGTCGCTCGGCGGGTCGTTTAACGAAAACAATAATTGTCAATTAACTCGTCGTGAAACAAGTCGGTCGTTCCCATGGAAAAAAAAATCGCTGAAATCCTTTCCTTCACGGATCTCCTACCTAAACAAACGTACGCACCGAGGCGCGCGCGTCTCTACCTTAAATTCAACGTCGAAGAATTTTCTGAAAGAACTAAAAATAAGAAAAACCGTACATACGTGTAGGTATGTGCGCAGAATAGTGTAGTATATACATAAATAGGAATTAGCATAATTTATCATGCGTTCTGTCTAACCATCGTTTTAGCATATACGTACGCGCGTTGTCGTATTTTAAAGGCGCCTATCCGGCATCGCAGTGACGACGTGCGCAACTCGTTATTACAATAATACAACCGTATATAAGTACTTATATATTTATATATATATATATGGGTAAACATTTAATATAAATGGTAACGTGACCGGTATCGTTCGTGAGAAAAATAAACGATCTCGACTCGGCCGACAGCTATTTTAATCTGGAACGGGCTATTGCCAGGACGTGGGCACCGGAGAAGCCAGCTACAGCATGGTCGTATCCTATTATAATATACAGATATATGTATAATTTTTTTCGTGTATAATAATATGCACGCTCAATAGTCGGGGATGATTGGCAGGGAGGGGTACACCACGGAGTTGACGAAATTACACGGAGAACATTGTTGTTGCGCGCGCAAAGACCTCTGCTGCTACATCTCCGTCGGTTCCTCGACGGAACCGGCGGATGTTGAATAATAATACTAATCATAATACGATGCGAGAGGCCAATATTATATTTTTATTGAAAATATGATGTTTTTTTGCAATTACCGCGTTATACCGTGCATCCGCGCACCTTGGAACGGACATACGCACAAGCAAGATTAGAATATCGTAATAATAATAATAATTCTGAATGCTTATAGTAGTATTATTATTATTATTTTTTTTTAAACATTTTTCTTTACACCATTGCATAGATTCACACCACGTTGTGAGTTCATATACACTTGTGTATTATAATGTTATGTGTATGTGTGTATAAAAAATTCGTAATGCTGCAGAAATTCCACAAGAAAAACCAATTTCTTTTTTTTACGGTCAAACTCAGCAGTGTACCGACGCGCACTTGACCTTATTCCGAATCCTCTATCCGTTGTTACCTTCCTCCCGTTCTGAATCATGTGTTTTCCGTAGCGGTGATGTACACCGAGCACTTTCGAACGTCGACAGCAGCGGCGCGCCCTCGTCATCGGCTTTAAGGTTTGAATTGATTGTTTAGTGCAATACAAATTGCGATTTGAAAGTCGCCCTGTTTACAATTTCGTAGGCATATCTGCTGTGCTATCACGTAATCAACGGTTTTCAGTACAGCTCAATGGTACAATAAGGTAACGTTAAACGCGCGCTATAGAAAGCTAAACTCATCGTACCATCGAGTGTACTTGCTTTTTCGATTATCCACGACCACCGTGTCGGAGATAAGACGTATTAAAATCGATCCAAGTCGACTCGTGGTTTTTTATCGTTCAGTTAGTGCAGCTAACGTACAGCTAACGTATGCGTCGCGTGGGCGTACGACTTTTGCGCGGTACCACCGTTACACTCATCCTCAACGGTTATAAGTGTCCTCTGCGAATGTATATGTATATGTTTTTACGTACCGTCTTATTGCGTACAACGTATTTCCATGCACAGTCGTAATTACGTATCATTCGGGCGAGGGGAAAAAGACTATTCGATTTTTCTCGTTCGATATTTCGACACCTTCGAACGTTATTAAATCGTCGGGGAACGGCAGCGGCGTTATTACGTATCCCTTTATCATTTAATTCAGATTTTTATGAATATTATTATTATTAGTATTACTGTGTAATATATACGTATGCGCGGTAACGACGACGTGCTAAGTTTATTTTTTATAGTCCTCGTCCGACGTCGGTATTAATGAACACACAGAGGCCAAACTAGTTCCACGTGTGTCAGCGAGTGCGTGTTCGTGTGAGAACGTGCCCGTGCATGTATGTATTTTACTCGAACTCGTATGGGTAATAATAATATTTTACGAAATAAGTAATCTTCGTATTATTACGATGCTGCTGCTCGCGGTTGCTTACATACACACACGAGCGCGTGTTTTTTCTATATATACCGAGCGAAACGTTCGATTTATCAACTGGACGATATAATAATATAAGTATACACAAACAGACGCATTATAAATGTACGGTGTACCTCGTGTATGTATATGTATATTTATACACATGTATATATTTCGTGTACACAAGCGTGTATAATATAATACACGAGCGTTATATTTTACATACACCGAAGGAAATGCGCGTATATTGTTACGTCGAAGACTCTACAGAAAGGGTTCAGCAGTACCTGAACTACACTCCGACGCTACAGATTTAATATACAAGCTCACATACACACGCATGATTCCGTATAATCGTATTGAACGCAGTTTACGACTGCGTATATTGTGTATATTTACGCGTAACTAGTTTTCTAATATTTTATTATTCGTTGCTTTATTATTATATTTTAAATAAATGCCCATGGCGCCTTGCAGCCCGTCATCGTCGTAAGATGGTACTCATATAATATTATACCAGTGCAACATATAACGATCGATTGGTAGAAAAAAAATTAAAAAAACCGTAGAATAATGTATCCCGTACATTAAAGTTAACATAACAAATATTATGGTAGACATTTACGAACACACGTAGTATTGTAGAGGTTGTCATTAAAACTGTAGAAAAATAATAAATTAACGGCTGACGTGTGCATGATGTATACCTATGTATTTATTTACTTTTTGTCGTTCCGTCTACTGTTATTAGATCTTTTTATAGAATAACCGACTTTAATCTCAAGTGTACACAAATATGCAAATTACGAAATTAAATTATTCAAATTAAATGGTTTTAATCTCTGGCCTGTATAAATATTGTTATAACAATGATAAAGTGTAAGACGTTGATATTATAATATTTATAATGTTTCAATTGTGAACTTATCAGTGCCTAGATTTAGAGCAGGTGCATTATAATGAATATGCGTTGATTAATGTAACTTAAAATCGATTTATGATCATGTACGGTGGTGTTGGTGTTGAGAAACCATAGTTCTCCGGATTGTTATCGACTTAAAAGTGTCGTTACGATGGATACCAATCCGATTTTGAGGACAATACAGACGCGTTTACCATAATTTTGAGTACCTGGGTATTTGTATTCGTATTAAAGTTTTTTTATATATAACATGCGCCCGTCATAATACGCTCGAGTGTGATGATATTACGGTTTTCCATGCGTAGGGCAGTTATAATGTGAGACCGGTCGCGTTGCATTCGTATTTCAAGCGACTCTGCAGGGGAACCACGCCCGCCGTATGTGTACACTGAACATCGTGGGTTTTGTTGTCTGTGTTAATCCTTCGCTCGAACCCTTCGGATCTGTATACGCACAACGACGAACGTCGCTTTGTGCGTATCCTTCTTTCCCGGACGTTGACGTTTGAACAACCAATACAGCTACAACTGCGGCCGTGAACGTGACAAAATGGCGCGATAAGGACGAGTGCTATTTTGTAATTTTCGAGTGAAGATCGGGACCGCACGTCCGTCCGTCACTACATTAAGACGCGGAAACGGCCAACAGTCGTTTAACTCGTGCGCAATAATTATCATCGCCGTGTATCCGTCGTCGCACTTTTCGTTTTCGCTGGTGTCCCCCTCCCCCCCCCCCCCCCGGCCAAATGGTGGTGTCCGCCAATGGAGCGCCGGCCGGAAGTCCGGTCATGGCCGCCGTCGCGGCGTGGGTGTCCCTCCTCCGTGACCGTCGCGATAAAAAAAACGTGAACGCACGACGCGCACTTGCTTTTATTTCCCATCCGTTCCTCAAAAATTATTCGCTTAAATAATAAACCGCGTTGTGCGATGTCGTCGCGTTCCGATCATATTTTGCCGTCCCGCTAAACCGCAGGGCCGCTCGCCGCACCCCATCGCTCTGCTGTACCACAGGTCTCGTATCTCTCAGGTACGCGGTCGCGTAGAGCTGGTGTAGTGTTTCGTCCGGTAGAAACCGATAGGTATTTTTTTTATCAAATACGTGTTGTCTACGTCTGTGTACTGTTGTAGTGCAGTCCTGTTCACCCCGTTGAAGGGAGTAGTAGAAAGGAGCGCCCGTATGGAAGGAGAAGTGGTGGGCGCAGCGTAAGGGTGCGCGCGCGTTATCGGGCGGATTGCAGGGTTCTTCTCAGTCTCCGATGGATCCGTCGTTGTTTTTCATACAAATTGTCTCATTCCGCCACCACCGAATACGACGACGCCACCCCTCGCGAAAGCCATCGACGACTGCAGTTTCCTTCGACCCCTCCGCACCGTTGTGCAGTGGAAAACCGCTATTTTCCGCCTCTTGAATGCATATACGTACTCCCGATGCGAATCCATTATTAATACCGACGGCGGAGTTTCCGCAATTTTAAAATATTCTCCCTATACATCTTACTATTATATCACCGCGCGCGTAAGTCCGCGCGAACGCCCACCCCCCACTGTCGTTATATTTACGTACATAAATGTGCGTAAAAAATGTTAGGTCGGTTCCTCCTCCCTCCCGTGTGCGCGCGTTCGCAGTAAAACGATTGCCGTCTTAATGACCGTATAATAATATTATCAGTACCGTTATCTTATTAGCGTTTATGTCGTAGTCAAATTATTGGGAAAAATCTGAGGGCAATACCATTAATAACTGTACCGCGCACCGCGAACTTAATGTTTTGTTATTATTGTTACGTTGCTTTATTACATTATTATTATTATTGTTATTATTAAGTACTCAAATTGCTATACTTTATCATATATTCGCGAAACGTGTTTGGAATATAATCTGAAAACCGAATGGTTCGATTTTACTAATGACGTTTTTTTTTCTTGTGTTTCAGATTGTTTACTAACTATATACAACGACGCAAACGATGTTATTACCGGCCGTTGTCTCCGTCGTCATCATGAACTGATGCGCTGGACGACACGATCGCCTGCTTCTTCTTGTCTGTAATATTTAAACCATAGTAATACCATTTACGTGTAATTATTATATTATATAATTGTGTAAATCGAATTTATTTTTTGTAAATAACCTCCGTTGTTATTTCATTTACGTTTTGTTTTAGTTTTATATAGATTTTATAAGAATATTTTTTTTAACATTTTTTTTTTCAAAAAATATTCATATAATTTTTTTTTTTGTTCGCCCTTCTTTTAATATAACATACAGGCTAGAAATTTTTTAAAAGACTGAAATGGCCTCGAGAGGTTTCATTTTTCCTTGTAGCTAATAAAAAAACCATATTTTTATATAATAAAAAAAAAATACAATGTATTCTGAGGACATTATCCTTATTATTATTAATTTTTTTTGTACTATATATTAAATTGTTAGCGCTTATAATACGTATGTGCACTTGAAGTATATAAGTATTGTAGCCGTCGTTGTATAGTCGGTTAAACTTTCAATATATATTTATTGATCCTGTACGTCTGTTATTATATTTTGATGATGTTATATTGTGTATAGGCTCGGCCGCAGCGTTATATTGTCGGCGTTGAAAAGTTCCTGTAATTTTAATTTCTTCTATATTATTATAAATAGAAAAAAAATATTAAAAAGCAATCGAGAAAAAATTAAATTTAAAATATGAATCAATATAACGCGGATAAACATAATATAATATACCGGTGCTTTTTAGAGTTTGTATAGCGACGACCTAAAACTCATAATATGTATAGCTCGATATTGTGTACAATAATTATAATTATAAGCATACTGTTATCGAATTTTTTTTTTTTGTAAATTTCTTTTTTTTGTACTAAATCAGCGTGTACTTAAAAGAGAACGGACTTGTTCCCATGGAAATAATATATATATATATATATATGTACTGTATGCTTAACAGATACGGGAAACCTATATACCCTCTCTCCCCTCGTGTAACTATTTTCCCTATCTGTTACTGACTATTTGTATTTTAAGTGTTTAGTCGTCATGTGATTTATTTTGTATATTATATTTTAGGCGCACATTTATATATATATATATATATATGTAATGATGTATTACGATGTGTAAAAAAAAAAAAAAAACAATAGCTTTAATAAAAAGTCATAATTTATAATGCTCAAAAATTGCATTTCAATTGGCTTTTTTCAATCGCACCCCCTCCCCCACCGCTTTTATAATACGTTTATATCCTTTTTCCTTGTTCCTCGTCCCGGTGGTTTGTCTTCGCTCGTTATCGCCCGTCCGGCCACTCGAAAACAACACGAAACTGAGTGACAACGCCCAGCTCCTGGACCGCCGTACAGCGTTCGTCCTGCAGTGCAGTACGTGTGCATTGTACTCGGGCGCAACGACGTTCCGTTATTGTTTATTGTACAAACAGTGGCGCTCCGGAGACGGCCGAAACCGCGGCAAAGAGTACACTGTACAGCGCGAGTCCGGGCAAAAGATATACGAATAACAATAATGATAATAATAACGTCCGTGACGACGAGTATACGTGTGTACGTAGGAATATCATCCGTGTGTTTCGTCCTTCTCGTCCGCGGCGGTGAAGGTGCGCCTTAGCTTCGGGTGACCGTTTCTCCCCAAACGTTTTCACACACGGCTACCGCGACCGTGCATTCAGCTCCCGGGGGCGTTTTCTTCTTTTATTTTCGGTTCCCCTCCCCTCCACCGGTCGTCTATCCTTGCGCTCGTGCGTACGGACCAGAGCGGGTAGGCTTGCGCGCGCTCACACGCCTTTTACCGCGTTGTTGCTGTATCATTGTGTCCGGATCGCGCCCGAGGACGAATTTAATAATGCAATGACCATACGTATATACGCACTCGAGTAGCGTACGATAGTTCTTTCGACCGTACGACGACGATCCCGCGGCGCAATCAACAATTATTTTCTTACGTTATATTACTACGCTACGCTGTCGTTACCGCCGTTGCAGGAGTGAACAAAATTCGACTGGTCCTATGATATGTTGTTATGCTTGGCAAAAAAAAAAAAAGAAAATACTCGTCCAAAAATAAAACATCTAAAAAAAAAGTTCTGCTCGAAGAATTCATAATTATTGTTCGTTACGATAAACGGTAATTAAAATATCTATACTTGTAGACAAAGTAGCGAAATTATAAACTTAACAGCCAAGCCCTATCGTCGAAACACAAACAATAGGAACAGTCAGTGTTTTCACATCACCATCAGTATATGTTGCAGCGCGGTGAGTTGTAGGTCGTGTGTGTTCCCGAAAGCGATGCCGAAATAATGTTGAAGTTGTAGGGCAAAACAATAATATCTAATCCGGACGCGCTACGGGCGCTCTTTTCGAAATAACCCGTAGGAAAACCGGGTAAAACTGACGAATATGAGGTTGATAAGGATGAACAAATGTTTTCATCCGACCGGCGGTGCACCGACTACGTTTAGGACCAAGTTATCATAGCTGTCCTAGGCAGAAACGTTTGGTAAACGCTCACGAACCTTACTCAGATGTACGTGAAACTATAAAAAAAGAAAAAATTAAGTGGCCAACGGATTAACGAACCAGTGAGACGAAACCGTTCGGGTCACTCCACCTAATGATCGCAACTATTGAAACGTTAGCGCTTAGTAAATGCTTAATACTTGAAGTAGCGCTAAGCGTGCTGATACATTTTAATTGATTATAAAAAAAAAAAAAAACTATCGAAAACCACTCTACAATATGTATTTTTTGCGAATATATTCGCACATCGAGTATACGATGTGGTACCGGTACCGGTAAGGGATGAAACGATTTCGGCTCGTGTACCATTCCGTTACTCTAAGGTTCACCTCGTTGTCCTGCCCGGGTATAGCGGCCACAGGACCGAATTCAGGTCACCGAAACGGTCGCGAGCGATGAGCCGTTACAAAAAAAACGTACGACAGCCACAGCAGGGCTTACATTTACTGTTCGTCTGGACCGGACACTAGGATAGATTATTGTTTTTTTACAATACACGCGGACCAAGTTCGACCGATCGGTCTTGACCACGCGTTGCACCTGTACAAACGCGTTAATAAATATTGTATTGTGTCTGCACTAGTCGCGTCCGTAGGTTTTGCAGCTGTGAGCCATTAATCGTCTGTAGAACAATTACGAGCTCCTCGTCCCTGGCCTCCCTCATTACGGAAATTCAAAATCAAAATTATGCCACTCTTATGTGCTGGTTTGTGCTTTCAATCTCGTCGTTGATGCTCAATTCCTTCCCGAGGAATACAATACTGAAAATCGGAAAATGTACTGTACCCCAGCTACTTCCCTTTATAGAAATAATTTTTTCTTCTCGGGTCGTTGATGATAACGGTCCACATAATTATTTTTTTCTCTAATTATTATGGTGGGGGGCTTAGCATATCCCCAGCCCTCCTCACTTACAAAGTCAGATAGCTTGAAGGGGGGGGGGGGTAAAGCACAAATGACGGAATTGAAAGCACAAACCAACACAAACGAATGGCATAATTTTAGTTTTGAATTTCCAAAATAAGAGGGTTAGAGACATGGAGCTACAATTATGCACGTTTATGTGAAACGTCGCGACCGTTAATGGTGTTGCTGGTGAGCATTTAAATTGTTTTCTTGATTTTGTACACCACCTACCCCTCTCCAAAGTGATCGAACACGATCGAACCACTTTGGAATTAGATTATCCCTCGTGTTTCGCTAACGCGTACGTTATTCTTTTGCCTTCGTTAAATATAAACCGCTTCAACAATGGATACCGTCGGGCAACTTGATTTTAATTATTATAAAGGTTAAATTTTTTTGTTGAAACTCAAGAGAATTATTACGTGTCCGGTAAATGGCAATCGGTGAAAATCTTTAATGGTCTTATCATCATTACATGAGCGCATAGATATAACGCAATTCATCCGGGTGCGTACTCGGAAAATAATATTCCGGAGAAAGTTTAGAGGTTTCCAAAGGCCACGACAATGACGATTTTCAACGGAGAACTCGATTTACTTACCTTTACCTACATCTAATATCTTTTACACGGATGAAAACCATTACAATTGTTAAACTCAAGCGTAAAAATATAGTTGTATATTTTTTTTTAGGATTTCGGAATTTCATCGTTTAACCCCTTGTATACGTGCCCGAATTCATCCGACTAATACTATTATAATATTTTTTTTAACGTCAACGCCTTAGGAATCGTCAAGTCGGCCTCGTTCTTCAACGAATTGAACTACGTCAAACCGACCAACAAGTATTTAACGACCGCGCGCACTTATTTAAATCAACAATACGTCACGAATTATCGTTATAATATTTGGTTGTTTTTTTTCTACAAACTAATTATGAGTAATATTATGAAGTCGGAAAGCAAATGTACAATGAGACGCATTTTCGTTATCGTTTTGAACATGATTACCGTTTTAACGACGATCCGTTATTGTATTGTTTACAGTACACTTAAACGTTATCAACTCGCATTGTACACGGTCGTCGATTAAAGGAAATACGACACTTGTCTTAACTATATGTATTTTGTTTTCACTAACAATATCGGTATGAACACTAAATTAATGTAACGTTCGATTATTGCAACTGTACACTCACATATTTTGAGACTTAATTTTGTGATTTGAGTTTTTTTTTTCGAGCATTTACAAAAAATTAAAAGACTAACAAACGGAATATATTATTTATTTTCGAAGAATCTCTATGTTTAGCGAACAACGACGTTTTAGGCATAAGCCTCCGTAGCATAATAACACACCGACTGTCTCCACTCGTAAAATTATTGTTTTTATAATCACGTGCAGTGTTTCATCTTTCAAATGCACATACCATTGTGGTGTTAAAACTTAAAAAAAAAATTATTTTACAAAAAATCAGGTAAAATTTGTTCACAATTTCAAATCTGAAACGGTCAAAACAATTATGAGAAGCAATTATTTATGGTCGATGGATTGTACTACATTTTAGAAAATCAAATCGCAAAAATAAATTCCAAGATTAATTGAAAAAATTATTATTTAAACCGCTTAAAAAATTAATTTTCATTACTAATTTACCGGGGAAAAAATTTTAACGAGGTTTTTTTTTTTTTTTTTTTTGCGCACTATTATTGATTT